GCTAAGTCTTTCAGTTAAGTGGGAGTAAAAGGCAGTAAAATTGCAGTCATATGCCAGCAGACAAGATTGAACACATACTGAGTGCAGACATGATGAATAAGGAGGTGGTATTTTAATAGTCAATTTTCAGGATATAACAGCTCTTGAAAATAGATTAGCTTAGAATATTTTCTCTATTTAGAAGTGTCACTACTTATCTGTGCACTTAAGTAAACTTGAGCTTTGGGGCACCTTTAAGCTAAAGGATAGGTCAGAAAGGTTGCCCATGAAGGGATACCTCAAAACTAAAACCTGGTGCCATGAGACAGCATAAAAGACACACTGTAAATATAATAAATATCAATAAGATCTTTCTGAAAAGTTCAAGTTACTGTTGCATTTACAGAACTCAAGACACTTGAAGTTAAGCTGGCTCATAAATGAAAACATCAGAGCTCAGGTTGCACCCAAGATGAGGACATATCTGTGCATCTCTGTGTGTATGCATTCAAGAGATAGTAAGTTCAGTAGGTCCACTCTGAGAAGTGGGAGAGGCATACAGCATTTCAGCCCACAGCTGATATCTAGATTGTTTTGGTTGGCTATGGAATCTTTCCCCAGTGTAAGATATGCAAACCTGGGAGGGAGTGAATATCAGTTCTGAAGGAGAGAGAAAGAACAGGTATATCTCTGCAGCTCAAGGGCTTTCACTGGGGAGAGAGGAGTTGGTGCTCCCTCAGGAACCTGTCTGAGGGCAGCTTGTGTGGCTTATACTGCTACTGCAGGCTACAATATATGCAAGTTGTCCTCAGAGTAGAAAGTCATTGCAGGGAGGGCACTGCCATCACCATGAGCACTATTGCTCGGAAGAAGAGATCATGCCTGGTGCTGTATTTGAAAAGGGTGGCAACCTGGCTATGAACTCAAATTTGACATAGGACCTGGAGAAGGAAGGGATTTCCACCCTCCTCTTTTCCCACGAGGCAATCTGGCCAGCTCTTTCCTCAAAAATGCCAGCTCACATAAATCATACCTACAGGTACTGAACTGGGACCACAGGGATGTCATGCAGTGGCTGATACTGAGGACATGGGACTAAATGTCAGTGGACTCTGGGCTTCCTCAGGCACAGCTCAGTCTGCTTTCTAGTGTGCCTGTCTTGGAAGCTATGAACTCCTCAAAACAGGTCAGAAAAGTAGAACACTGTATGTTTCCCTGCTGAACCTAGTGCAAAGAGCCTTTGCTGCCAACATGCATAGTGGCATGCACAGGCTGAATTATCACCATGTGAGTTTCTTCTTGAATTTGACACATTTATTTTGATAAGGAAGAGCGAGACCAATATGACTCCTATCAGCGTCAGTGGGAACTGAAAAGATTTTCTCAGCTGTTAGTATTGTTTACCATATGATTATAGGGCCTTTAGATAGAAATACCCCTTTAATGTTTTGTGTTAGCATTGTGCTTTGTGTCCGTAAACTGACACATCATTGCACTCCTGTCAGAATAAAAATCTTAGTTCATTGTGCCCACAATTACTTTTCACTGGAAGATGTTGTCACATAATACATAGCTTCTTCAGGGGCTAAACTCCATCATAGTTACTTTGGACCTTTACACTGTGTTGACACTCCTGAAGCTACTCATGCAGTGAACTCTTACCATGCTTATTGCCCATTTGGTTCACTCACAAAAGAGCTGGGATAATAAGTATCTGTTTTAAAAATGCCAAATGCTGGTGGAGGTCCTGAGAATAATAGCATGATGAAAGATGACCAAAGATGGCATTTTAAATGAGGTCTTCCCCCTCTTTTGTTATCACGAGTAACCTGGAGAAGTCTCAGAAAAGCCCCAGAGTGGGGTGTGGGGAGAACCTTTTTCAGACTTCGAACATTCATAACAGCTAGAGTCCCTGCAATGTTGAGATCCCCATTTGTGAATGTCAGGACTCATACTTAACCTATACCTATTAATCACACAACCAGGCAATCCATTCATTTAGTAGGATGATTCTTCTTTAACCACCTCATGCTGTGAACTCATTTTTAGAGAAACTATTTGTATTTGCAAATGCGGCAGTAGCTCAGGTTAAAGAAGACAAAATACTAGTCACATAATGTCACAAACTGCAAATATGACATTGTATTTAATAGGGGAAAAGAAAGTCCTCTGCCTGCTGCTGGATCAATGCTGTGTGGATTCACATAATGCAGCCACCCCTCTGCTTCCTTGTAAGACTGGGATCCCACATATCCTTACTCAAAATGAAGACTGTGAAAGTTACAGTGGCTAACTTAGACTAGTAATCACATCAGTGTCTGAGAAGAACTGCTGCACTGACTCTTACCTTGTCAGGAACCAGCAAATTTCTCCAGAACAAGGATAAATCATGATTTAGCATTTTATTCTTGCACAGAAGCCAGGGCAGCAAGTTTCTGAGCTGATACAATAACATGTTTATCAGTTCAAGTAGAAGGGTATGAATGCATTTACAAAGGTAGGCAGGTCAGGTCTTGCCAACCTGGGAGCCCAGAAGAGATAAAAGGCAGGGCTCTTCCTTTTTCCTCAGAGAAGTAGTGAATCAGCTGTACCACTCAGCTTAGTGTCACCTTCAAACTTCCTGAAGGTGCCCTCAATCCCACTATCTATGTTGTTAATGAAGATATTAGATAGTATTGGTCTCGGTACAGACCCCCAAGGGATAACACTCGTTACTGGCTTCCATCTGGACATCGAGACATTGACTCTTCCGATGTGGCTGTCCAGCCAATTCCTTATCCAATAGTCCATCTGCCAAACCTATATTTCTCTGCAGTAATATTATGGGGGACCATATAAAAGGTCTTTCATAAGTCCAGGTAGGTGACATGTGTAGCTCTTCCCTTGCCCATTGATGAAGCCACTCCATTGTAGAAGGCCACTAGATTAGTCAGGCATGATTTGCCCTGGTGAAGCCATGTTGGCTGTCTCTAATCACCATCCCTGTATTTTGACAAATCTTTCAGGAGGATCTGTTCCATGGTCTTACTGGACATAGAGGTGAGGCTGACCCTGGGTCTGTAGTTCCCAGGGTCCTCCTTTTTACCCTTTTGAAACATGGGTGTGATGTTTCTTATTTTCCAAGTCACTGGGGACTTTACCTGACTGCCAATTGCCTCAGTACCCTGGGATGCATCTTGTCAGGCACCATGAAGTTGTCTGTTCAGGTTCTTCAGGTGGTCTCTCACCTGAACTTTATTTTCAATAGGAGAGATTTCATTCTCCGAGTCTCTGCTTTGAGGTTCAGGGGTTTGACAGATGTGGGAAAAGAGACGAAAACTGAGGCAAGAAAACCATGGAAAACTGATGAAAAAAGTGTTGAGTAGCTCAGCCTTCTCCATGTTGGTTGTCACCAGCTTTCCTGTTTTATTTACCAGAAGTGTAAGTTTTCTTTTATCTTAATTTTTTGGCCAATGTACACCTGTGGAAGCCTTCTTTATTATTCTCCACATCCCTTGCCAAACTCAGCTCCAGCTGTGCCTCAGGTTCTTCAACCCCATCTCTACCTATCCGGGCAGCATCCCTATATTCTTCCCAGAGCACATATCCCTGGTTCCACTACCTGTGGAGACTCCTCATCCTCAGATGGAGGAGCCCAGCCCAGGCCTTCTGGTGATGAGTGCTGGAAGGAACATGGCCCAGGCATTCAGGCAGGAGCAGACTGAAAGTTGTGGTGGTGGTGACTGCAATGGGAAAGGTCCATGTGCTCCTCTGTTACTGAGCATCTGCAGGACCCATCCCTGGCAGTGTCCAAGGAAAGTTTTGGATGGGGCTTTGAGCAACCTAGACCAGTTGAATGTGTCCCTGCCCATGGCAGGGGGGTGGAAATGGATGATCTTTAAGGTCCCTTCCAATCCCAGCCATGGTGGTAGGGGAAGGTGGTAGGGGAAGGTGAAGCTGCAGTGCCTGTGCCTCTGCAACTCAGAGGGGAAAGGCAGTTTCCAGAAAAGCCTCACAAAATTTATTTCAGTGTCTCTGCTAAGATTGGTCCTGAATATAGACTTTGATGAAGAGAAGAGGCTGCTGCAAGGTAGTCTCTGGAAGTGGAAAGGTTTGGCAAGCTTCTTGGGCTCTCCAAAATAATGCGTTAACTTTTTTATTGATTTGAGAAAAATTTGAGGAAGTTAAATGCATTCCCAGACCAAATTGAATCTGTATTTCTTCACAGATAACATTAGTCAGACCATCTGAATTTGTATTACCCAATATAGTAACCGTGCTCCATCAAAAGATGGATGCTGGGGTAGAACAGCGCACTTTCCAAAGTTCCGTTTTAATTACTCGCTCAGAAAAATGATCAAAAAGAAAGACTCTTTCCCGTATATCTGTGACAGCAGGCGGATGAAGAACAGAAGAGGCAGTGAGACTTGTGTGACAACCTTCTGAGCCCTCAGCAGCATGGAACAGCCCCAGGTGGTAAGGACAGTTGTGGAACTTTGATGTTTTAACCTAACACTCTGGATGGAAGGGATGCCATCCATAGGGACCCGGACAGGCTTCAGGGATGGGCCAGTGACCACATGAAGTTCAACAAGGAACCTTGAGCAACCAGGTCTAGTGGAAGGTGTCCCTGCCCATGGCAGGGGGGTTGGAACCAGATGATGTTTAAGGTCCCTTCCAAGCCAAACCAATCTATGAACCTGTGATTCTACGATTCTATGAACCACACGCATTAGGTCGCGCTTTCAAGCCACCTCCAGCACACAGTTTGAAGGGTGCCTAAGCTGGCAGCCGAGCCCCCTGCCGCGCACCCGGGCTGTCTGTCCCAGTGATTGCTGCTCTCCCCTGCACCCCCGAGGGGAGCGCTGTTTGTGCCGGCCGCCTGGGGGAAGCGCCAGTCCCGCTCCTTGTAACCGCTGTGTTCTGGGGCCGAGAGGGATAAAGCGGTGGCGGGGTCCGGGCTGTGCGGATAGGGAGCGCCGGGGACCGGGTACCCGCGGCCGCCCCTAAGGAGCCGCCGCCGCCGCCGCCGCCGCCGCCGCCAGGGGGCGCGGCGCTCTCTCGGATGGGGGAGCCGGGGCGGGGCGGTGGCGCGGGGCCGCGTCGCGGGCGCGTCGCTCATTGGCTGGCGCGGGCCGGGCTGCTCGCGGGGCGCCGGTTCTTAACGCTCGGTGCGGGGCAGCGGGAGCGCTTTGCCGGGTGGGCTGCTGCGAGCCGGGCTGCTGCCGCCGCCGCCGCTGCTGCGCGACATGAGCGAGGTGAGCCCCGAGGGCGGGACAGGGGGTGCCTGTGGGGAGCGCACGGCAGTGAACGTAACCTTCCCTCTGGGAGAGCGGCCGCCCTGGCCGGGAGCCCCTCAGCATCTGCTGTGCCGCAGAGGGGTCCCGGGCTGGGTGGGGAGTCTGAAACGTGTAGCTTCTATTAAACCCTGCCTTCTGATAAACCGCCACAGGTGTGTATGCTCCTTCAGAGCGTAAAGCAAGGGGGTGTTTTGCCTTTTGAAGGACCATATGCACCGGCGCAGAATAATTAACCCCCCCCCGACAATTAATAATCTAAAGATGCATTTAATGGTTTCCTGTGCAGAAAGAGGGATTTAGTAAGTTGTGCTAAAGTTATCTGCTAGAGCTCATGGAAAAAAATGCCCTGTTTGTAGTTGGATGCTGATGTAAACTTTATAAATAGTGTCTTGGGAAGGATTGCAATTAAGGAAAAAATGTAAATAGTGCCAGCCATGTAAGGGTCACTCATACTCTTGTCAAGGAATAAGCTGAGAACTTTCACTTGTGCTCTGTGGGTTGTTTCTTTTTTCTTTTTTCTTTCTTTCTTTTTTTTTTTTTTCCCTGTGGAAAAGTTATCTGGGGCACAGCAGAATTCTTGTGAACAGTGTTGTCATGCATGATCACTGCCTGACAGCACAGTCAATCAGCTGCCAGGCAGGTTCAGCTGGTGGATCTCACAATCTCCAGTGCAGCTCTTCCATTAGGAATCAGTAAAGATGCCTATAACTGTGCCTTACCCAGCACCTGTTATTCAGAGGCTATTTGCTCTTATAAAAGGTCTGCTGCTTCATTAATGAATGGGTATCCCTTTCTTAGCAGCAAGAGTGAAATTAAGAGCAACACCGAAGAAGTTCTGACTAGTTGTTGTGCAGGTGTTAAGATCAGCTGTATTTTTAGATGGGGTATAAACTTGGACAAAAAGCAGTGTATGGGGATTTATGAGGACAAGCTTGCATCTTGGCTTGCAGGTCAGGCCAGATGGGGAGAGCAGAGGAAATCATCATTGTGGTTTTTTTTGGTGCTTGAGGGGATCAGGCTGTCTAGGTGTAGTGCATCAGGCTGTCGGTGACCTCTCCTTGGCTGTTGCCTGTATTTATATCAACTGGGTAGAATGCATGCACTGTGGGGTTGTTTTTTGCAGTCTCTGCCCCCTTGGCCCCCAGGCTAGCTGAATTATTGTGTGAGATGAAATACTGCTGTTCTACTTCTTAAGATAGCATTCAGGGAAAAATCTTCTAGTGTGGAGTAGTGAATAGGTGATATTGCTGTGCATACTATAACTGTGCAAAACACTTTTTTGTCGCAGCCTTGTACTGAGTTGGATTTACTCAGCAATTACCCCTTAATGGTTTGAATTGAGTTGCTTGCCTTTTGGATTTTGTAAGTCTCAATGAACATCAAGGTCATCCCTAATACCAGCATAGGGGTTCTCTATTTGCAATGTTTCCCTTTGTCTCAGAGCACTATACCTAGCAAACCCTCGGAGCTGGAAAATGTCTCTTTCTCTGGCATAGCACTAAGCCCTGTATGTATGACACTTAGCACTGCACTTGGTGTCTTCAGTGCTGCTGTCATTCAACTGATGATATTGGAGAGTGTATCTCTCCAGCTCCAATGAAGAAAAGCTTCTTCACTGTTACTTTGCCTGTCAGCGATGCTCAAAAGACTGTTCTTTTTCCAAAAGGCAGATGAAAGCAAGTGGGCCACCTCACTGTTAAAAAAGGAGGAAAAAAATATTAGCAGAAAGCAAGCTCCTTAAATATCTCTTTGTAGTATTTGGATGGGGATCTTGGTGTATTTCACATGTAAGGCTGCAACTGAAAATTATTTCTTTTCTTTGTTTTATTCTGCTAGAAAATATGAGGGCAGACTGATTGACAAGAGGCTCAACTACAGCCATTAAAAGATTATCCCAATAGGATGGTGTTGGGAGGGTGAGAAGGTTTTTTGCTTTATGTTAATGCTTGTCAGGATTTGAGTGGAGCTTGAAATGTTGTTGCAGAAATCTCTGAAGAGAGCTTTCATGTCCCTCAAGTTATTTGCTGAGACTTTGCATGGATTCTTAGTTTGGTGCTCCAAGCCAAATTAACTTATTTCCTGTTTAGGGGCAGTGATTACCAGTCTGGTGATAGAGAAAGCTGAAAAGAAGCAGCTGTTATTCTGACAGTAATACTTTTATATTTTGTAGCAGCTAGCTTATTTTTTTTTTTTTGTCAGGAAGGATAAAGACATTTTCTACAGAAAACCTTTACACTTCTTCCTCTGCAATATTTGCCTGAAAATGTGTTTAAGATGCCCTGTCTCTGGGCAAAAGTCTGTCCCTGTAACTAGTCACAGGGAGCTTGAGGTATAAGACTTTATCTAGTACCATTGTGAAACATCACTAGAACTTTCTGCAGCTTGGTTTCAGTGCAGATAGATCTCTTAGCTGTATGGGTAACTTCTCCATAAAGTCACTGTATACTGAGATGAAATTCGAGGTGTCAAAGTAGCTTTGAAAAATCTGTCCTCAAATAACTAAGGAGGCTTTTCTTTAGGTCTGTAGTTGGTTTTAGTTGTTTTAATGAGTCTACAGAGAAGAGCTGCACTGAAAAATATCAGCTACTGCCACAGTGAGCATCCATGAGATGCAGCCCTTATGTTGAAGATCTCTGATCACACAGGATAAACTGGGGGAAGTAGTGTTGGTTAATAGTCTCACAGACCGATGCCAAATCACTGCTCACAGTCAGTTTACTTAGTGAGCCTCTAGACCTGCAACTGGCATAAACTTGATACACCACAGGGAATCCTGTCATCAGTCATTTAATTATCTGATGTTGCAGATGATGCTGGGTCATGGTGACAGTAGGGCACAAAGGTTCACAAGAAATGTTTTGGCACACAAACATTTTTACAACATTCACTGCCCCTCTTGCCTACTGTGTTGAATGATTCTGGCTGTCATCGGGAATCAGGTCTGGACTTGGGGAGGAGTGTAGCAAAACAATATGGTGTTGCATCCCTGGTTCAGGGATGAAGCACATGTGTCAGGAGTCAGACCTTAAAATAGCATTAGCATAGGTTGCCTTGTTGGATGCATTTATTTACTTTTGGTCTTAAGGATCAGAGTGGTACTGCTGGTGTAGGGAAGGGGCTGAGCTTTAACAGGTGCCTGATTTTGAGAGAGCCACCAGCTCATGTGCCTGATGTGCCTGTGACTTAAGAGCTTGCGTTGGAAGTTGGAAGAGGGTTACACAATGTAAGTGAAGTACCATGCTGATTGCTAGGGTGCTGATGCGCACCACTTAAGGCAGAGTTGGGGCCAGCACCTTTGTGTATTTGAAGAACAGCCTAGGTACCAGACAGTAGCAAGAATATTCCATCTTTCATTTTAAATAGGTGTCAAGCAACCAGGCGTGTGAAATTCGTAAGACGGGAGAGAGCTGTTAGGGGCTTGATTCCATAGTGTGCTTAGCTGGTGACTTGATCTCTGTGTGAATGCAGAGTTTTGGTCAGGCTTTGAATACAAAGAACAGCAGGTCTTGTTTCTTGGAGCTACAGCAAGCTTTCCCTTTGCCATATATTGTTTCTGGGCTCTTGGATCCTGCCACAATTGCTGTGTTGTGTCCACCTTCTGAAGGATCATGAAGGTTGCTTGTGTGCCCTGTAATAGGGGTGCACAGAGCACACATCACGTGCTTATCCAGTCAGCTCTCCACTGCAGCCTGGAGTACTGAATCTTTGTTCTGGAGCTGAGATCAGCTTCAGTGGGAGATACCTAGCTAGTCAACACAGTGAAGATGGAAGCTTCACTGGAAAGTTGATGTAACAAAGATGTCTTTCTGAAAATTGAGCTTCACCAGTCCTTGAGGTGTGCGTGCAAGATAGCAGTCATCAAGGCAGTCTCTGCTGTGGCTGTTTTCAAAACCAGTAGTACCACCTGGCCTGGTCATTTGGGCATGCCTGTAAGCTGGCAGAGTAAACAGTGTGTGTCCTTTTTCTTCAAGATTGAGGGAAGGACCTGGAACAGATCTCTATCACTCTGGGCACGTGTGCCCAACAGGAGCCTGTTGGAGAAGGAGAGGCACATGTCAGAGCATGAAACATTGGACATATGTGGAGGCTTCTGTCTGAAACTGTAGCTGGTTTAGGTACTTAGATGGGAAAACTGATGTTCTTTCATGAGTTGCTCTCCTGAGTTCAGTTGAAGCCATACCGCTGGAATTGTATTTAGGGTTTTAGAACCAGATGTATCTAAACACTGAAGTGAAGATTGTACACAGATAATCCTGGTAGCACTAAACCAAAGAACTGGTGTTTGTAGGGGAAACACATGCTCTGTTTGTTTGGAGGATCTCCTGTTCTCCTGTGTGGTGCTTGCAGTTCTGGGGGTGTGTCTGAGTCAGCCAGTCATCTTGAGTGGTGGAGGGGCTCTTCTGGATGCACTTCTCAGGTACTGCTGTGGTCCCCAGCTGTTAACTAGTGGCCCCACAGAGGTTGTACCCACAATAAGTCCAAAACTGTGAAGATCTAAAAAGTGCAGCAAGAACATGGCAGGGTGGAGGAGGAAGTTTTGCAGCTGTTACAGGATGGGGGTGGAACAGATAAGGCACATAAACATCAATTTTTAATTTTAGCCCACATCTATTTATTAGCTGAGTGGTAAATTGCAGCTCAAAACAGAAGGAGAAAAGGAGAATGATAAGTTTTAAGTTGGTCACTTTGCCTACTCCTTTCATCAGTGTGGTTTCAGTGGGATCAAGCATCTTCTAAAACAGCATTTAGAAGTGATGTTGGAAATTGATTTTCATTTGGTGAAACTGGCAGATGTGTCTTTTAGAAGTGCACAGGCTTTCTTGCAATGTTTAGAATGCCAGAAGATTCAAACACCACAGCACTTTAATAAAAGATGGTTAGTTTTAATTGTATGCTTCAGGTGTCATGCTTCCCTGCAAAAGAGTAACTTAAAGCAAAATATCTGCATTTGTAAAGTG